TTTCGGTTAGTCGGCGTTTATCAACACGCGATTGAACATAATATATATTAATATGCAAAAATAAACTAAAATATTGCAAAGGAAGTTTAATGTCAAACGAGATTAACATATGCTCGAATCACGAAATCACGAAACTTTGAACCTCGCGATTGCTTAAATAGCAAACTCATTCGAATAATTAATTTGAAAAGAATGATCAAACAGCTGCCAGAGCCATAAATTCTGAAAGTAAACAATTTCATTTGAATTCCCTTATACGATAATCGTTGCATTTCTCTTAATTAGATACCTGTGAATCTCTAGCCGCATAACTTTCAACGAACTAGGATCTCGAGTCGTATAGCGAAAAGCCGCCGTGCATTGCAGAGAAGCCGGAAGTCGATCGTCGCACTCCGAGGTGATTAAATGCATCCGCGTAAGGAACAGCCACTCGACTGAGTTGTACATCAGCGAGCATAATGTGGGTAACGATGTTATCGTCAAAACCGCCAATTAAACACGAGGGAGTAAATTCGCGCAGCCGGTGTTGTCATGCACACGCGGATGTACCGTCGGGGGAGTAAGCTAAGCACGAGAATTCACAGTTCGAGACATGTCGAAGCGAGGATAAAGTCTCTCGATATGTGTGTATATATATATATATATATATATATATATATATATATATATTTAAAAGACCCAAGTGAAATTAATTGGAAGCAAAGTTTATATATAGATAGTATTATAATTAAAAGAAGGAATTACAACAAATAATAAATTAAGCAAAAATCAAAACTTTTTTAAAAAGATGAAATGTAGTTACGATTTTTATAGCAAATATATTTTATAGCAAATGTGCGCAATATAGGATTATTTGTTAATTTAAACATAAATTTATAAAAAGGAATATGTGAAAGCATAATAATTTTCTCGACTTACCTTAAGTTCACTAAAATATGCACAATTCACACAATTTAATAAATATTAAAATTATAAAAAATTATTTATTTATATATCTTTTATTATATTCTGTGAATATTATTATAATCTGTAAAATTAAGCATTATACATACGAACGTATGTAAATTAATTATATACATTAATTAAAAAATTTTAATATATTAATATCTTATTATTTTTTTTAGTTAAGAAAATTAAGAATTTCGTATATAGTAAATTAAAATCAATGTTTAATTTGATGCAATGCAAAATAATTTTTATAAAAATTATAAATTATACTAATTATGAGGATATAATTCATTAATAATGTAATACAAACAAATTGATATTGAAAAATAAGAGTATATATTCTTGAATATAGCAGTCATTTTATGGTATACATAGTTTAATTAACAACATACATAGTAATGAGAAAATATTTGTTAAAATTTAGTTAGAAGGAATGGAATTTAATCGAGATGGAGGATATCAATTTACAAAAAATGAACTACAGATATGAAATTATAGTTTTAAATAATAAAATAAGATGTTTTTATGAATTAAATTATAATTATAAAACACACACACACACACACACACACACACACACTCTATCTCTCTCTCTCTCTCTCTCTCTCTTTCTCCATCCCCATTCCTTCGCCCAAATTGTTAAGGGAATAATTTAAATAAAAATATATTGATTCACTTAAAAGAATTTCATTAATATAATGTATTTTTATTTTAAAATTTATTTACAAATATCATTTTATCTTACAAAGGAACGTCACGAATGACATGTAACAATAAGTTTTCTCTAGTTTATTAATAATACCAACCCGTACAGAATTGTAGACTAGGTTAAAATGGACACGTGACAATGTAGCTAAATATAGTGAATATGTAGCTTTATATATTTTTCTCAATTCTCATCTATGATGTCACATGTATTTTCTCTTCATAGTCAATTTGGATTTAAGGAATTATAATTAGCTCGGACAGTATCGTCATTGCAAGTAATGATTATTCAAAAGTTCAGAGAGAAAATTTTTATCGAATTTCTAATACTTTTTTTTTTCTTTCCTTTTTTTTTTTTTTTTTTTTTTTTTTTTAATAATGACTCTTTATATAATTTACAAGTCGTGAAATCATATGATTATCTCTTTATTTGAAATTCTACGATTCTTTATTGTAGATCACAGAGTTCGAATACATTAAACTATTATTATCAATGTTATTTGCTTGTTCAATGCGCTATTTTCTTTTACTTAATAAAAGCAACATTAAAATTATGTTAACATTTTTGTTAAAAATTTTAATATCTTGAAAAGTAAATAATTTTGTAGATATTTATACGTCAAATATTACAAAAGTTAATCTATTCATTAAACTTTTTACAATAGAAACAGGAAACAATATAGCAAATAGTAAAAAAAAAAGTCTACAATTATATTAATAAAAACGGTAAAATTATTAATATTATCTTTTATACGATAATAAAATAAAATTTTTAAATATTGTAATTATGATAACATAATTATAATACAAAATGATAGAAATTAATATATTTTTAATAGTTTTATATTATATTATGTAATTCTATTATTAGTTAAGTTGTCCTTACTTATGTTTTACAAATATTATTTGAAAATTATTTTAAAGCATAAGAAAATGTATGATAACATATTCAGGTAAGATTATGTCAAACATTTCTAAACCATTTATCAACTAGAAATGATTTTTCATTGAAGCTTAAGCAGTAACAAGTAGGAACATATTATCCTAAAATATACGTTTTTTTAATGCTTAATGAAAATCTTTATTTAACAATATCTTTATAATGAATTAAACAATTTAATAATAATTTGATATACATTTTTAATGTAACTAAATAAGTAGCGTGAATTACTTTTATATATAATATAATTCATAAAAATGCAATTTAAAATTACTTTGAAAATAAACGTCGTATTGGAGAAGTTTGGCAAAGTATTAGAATATTTATATTACTTTTGGATAAATTTTCTTATTCCAAGTCCATCATCGCATTACAGGATAATATATTATTTTGATTATAATACTTTTTTAATAATATTGATATATATATATATATATATATCAATGTGTGCGTATTATTAAAAAGTATTATATTCGTAATAACATGATCTAAAAGATTGACCTCATATTTATTTAAAAATGTATTTATTCTTTTAGTACTTCGTGAATGCAATATTTTATTTTAATTATATCATAATCTTAATTAGAAGATATATTTTACAAACTAAAGTGACTAGAGATATTTCTTGACAGCATAATTTTATATACTGATACGAAAGAAAAATTGTTTAAAAATTCCAGTATTGAAAATAATTCTTTTCAATTGTTTGCTATCTTTTATAATGTAATATTTGTGTTTTATTTAAACTCTGTAATTTAAAGATTTCGTACGAAAGCTTGATTCAATTATAATATTCGAGCTATTTCATGAAAGATTTTACAAATTTAATACAATTTTTTCTCTCAAATGTCTCAAAATGACTCAAAAAAAAAAAACATTATTCTGTTGTATTAATAGTCTCCCTAATAATAATCAAATGCATAATCGATTACAGAAGAAATTTAGTCACAGTAAAATAATTATAACAAAATGTATGCCCAATTGTTATTAAATGAAGTAATATTGAGGCATTAATATTCGATGTAATTTTTTTTTAATTTTTTTTTTTTTTTATATATATCTCACGTGCCTTGCAACCATAAAACTGGTACGCACCATATATAAATATATGTATGTATTTAGATACGAAAGTAAACTCGGTATTATCACATTTACGTTAGCATTGAGAGCATCCGAGCTTATTTCGCATGGCCACTCATCAAAGGAAGAACAAATTTGCAACTGGAAGCGAGAGCTTTTTTCTCGTTCGTCCTGTAAGCGCATTCTAATGAGAGAAATAAGTCTACTAGCACATGTGTGGATAGTTTTTCATAGGCATAATATGTTTTGGTTATCTCATCAAAATTGGACTGGGGCACATCATCCCTTTGTAGGGATTTCATGTGATGAGAGCATGTGTACCACATCGATTCACTATCTTATTTCTACATGCTTTGTAATTCTACAATTCTACTCGGAACTCTTCCATATACCATTCGAATAGATATTTTCTCATTTTTCTTTCTTCTTCCTTTGATGGTAGGTAAATTGTAATTTTTCTTCGATACTTACACATATACTCGTGCACCGTCGCAAAAAGTGCAGACTCGTTTTTTGTGCTTAATGACTAAAAAATTGTCGCTCGTTTCAAGCAAATTTCTACATAATTCTTTTTTTTTTATTTTTATTTTTTTTTACGTATTTCAATATTTTTAACTATATATATATATATATATATATATATATATATATATATATATATATAATTTATTTTTCGATGACGTTTATGTATATGATAAATTGCTTGAACTGAAAAAATATTATTTTCATAAAGATGAAAGACTTGGACTTTGATCATTTAATGAAATTGTGTACAATTATTTACATTATAGATATACAGAATTTTGGAGAAGTAGAATTACTTTTACAACGATATCAAATTTGTTCGCTTGTATTATTAGTTATTCAGTATGAAAATAATATTGTAGTTGGAAAACTTGTTTTTTTTTTTTAAATAACATTTAATTTATAGCCTAAATTAATGTAATTAGTGATTGTATCATTTTTAAATAAAAAAAAAAAAAAAAAAAAAAAACAGTTTATAATTAAATTGAATCCAAGAAAAATTATTTGATAATTAGATTAAACAAGTTTCATATAAAATTCACAAAGTTATTATTTTCATTTCTCATTACTAATCGTTAAGAATTTATAATGCATATTGACATAATTGATAATATTCTTGACTACGACATTGTAAGTGAAATGAAATTGTAAAATATTTGATTAATTTAGTCAAATGATTTAATCTTTAAGGTATATTACGATCAGATACAATTATAAATATATAAAATATTTACTTGTAATAAAATGCAAATTAATAAATCATTATATCAAAATGCGTATAAGGTTCTTGAAGTGAGCCTGATTATATGAAATGACAGAAAATGTAAACAACATATAAAATAAGAATAACATGGCTTACTGAACACTCGCAACGGATGACGGCCGAGTAGTCGATCTGGTTAAGCTTCTGGCCTCGAGGAGCCCTTCATCTTTGAAATTTCTTCCATTTGCAGCATCACCTCCATTATTCGAGGTCGTGGATGGTGACGTTGATATTGTTGTGGAAGTGCTTAAATTCGTAGCGGTTACCTGTGCGGGGATGGGTGATAGAATGGGCGGCATTTGTACAGTATTGCGCCACCAGTCGGTTGTCGTCGACGACGTCCAACTGGACACAAGGTTCCCCCGGAAGTTTAAGTCCGGAAGAACCGGAAGCGGCCTTCATATAACGTGGCACCTTGGTGAGTTGGACACATTTCCTGTTAAACTTTGCACCGAGAAGTTGCTTATATTGCTGATGCCGTTGTTATTATTCGTTTGCTGTTTTGGGGATGAGGATGAGATCGCGGTGGTTGAAGTCAACATAGGTTGGGGTTTCGACTCGACTTTCTCCACGACAATCGGAGATGACGAGGACGTCGTTGAATATCGATCTTGAGATTTTTCATCATCTTGGGGTTGCTGATGCCGTTCGATGCAGGTCGTCTCGTAAGAATCGTCATTAAATTTACGATAATCTTTAGAATCTTTGCCTTCCAGACTAAAGCGGTCATCCTCTGGTCGGGCTGGACTGGGAAATGGTCGATCCTCGGGCTTGCCAGAAAGAAAACTTGGCCTTTTGAGATCCTTCGATGGACTTGGACATCCGCAATTCACCTATGAAAAAGACAATATTCTTGGGCTAATTTGTGAAACTTAAGACTTTTAGGAATGTTATAAGTTTGAAAAAATATTATATTAAAATTATAAGACTCAATTGTACTAAATAATTGACTAACTAAATTTGACGTAATGCTTATAAAGTTAAATCGTATTTTCAATCTCCATTTAAATAAGTAAAAGATAAAATTTACAATGATCAAGTTGTAAAATTGTTTAATCAAGTATTAAATCGTTACATTTAAACTATCGATTCGTCAACACGCGTGAATGAAAATGCAATATATTTAGAAGTAAAAGGAGCGTTTGGTTTTGTCATATTAAATGTCATATGCGCCAATTGCCGTGACAAATACCTGAAGACAATTTGGAGCTGTAAGTCCCGGCCAAGCCATGCTCTGGTGTCCAGAATAAAAACTACCACCAGAGCCATAGATTGCTTGAAAAGCCAGATCCGCAGCCAACTTTCCACCAGCGAAATCATCGCCAATTTTGTGCTGAATCGGATAGAGAGGATAGGGAAATGGCGGGAAAAACCTGGGGATTTTGAGATCATCGGTGTGACCAATTAATGGATGATTCATTCCTGGTGGCCCCAACGGTGGAAGCAGTCCTCGCGATATCGTGCCGAGGTGGCTATGATGATCGTTCGGTGGCATCGTTATGGGCGCAAGCGTGAATCCAAACTTGTTTTCCTTCTTAATGACAGATTTGGGTTTTCGGCGTGGCCGATACTTGTAGTCGGGGTGTTCCTTCATGTGTAACGCTCTGTAACGTATAGAATAGGGGCGACGCGTGCCCGATGGCGTCAGATATAAAGTGGAGTGTATATAACCATAGCTAGGGTTACGAAATGAATGAGTTAAAATAGAATATCGAAAGGGTTTGATACTGTCACGTAAGATTAAGCTTAGGATTTAATGTTGAGTCCACGTTAATCAAATGAATATATTTTAATCCTTGGATATGCTTCGCTTTCAATATAATTAACGATAGCTAATATATTGGCTATATTTTGCCTTCTTCGAGCTTTCAGCGATATAGTATTTTAATATATTGAAATTTAATACGATTAATGATGGCAAGAGACTTAATATCTTACCATCCATGATCTTAAAATTTTCAAAAGCATGCGGTAACTTAAAAATTAATTACATTTGTTGGGAATTTATGTATATACATATATATATGCAAAATATCTTTATAATTCTTCATTAATTTCTATATTTAATGTTAATTATATAAAATCTATAATTTTTATAAATTTCCATAATATTTTTCATTCTTTGAAGTTTATTTGATTCGTATAATATACTTTCTTATCTATAACAAACGATAATAAGATATAAATTTTTTTATGTTATTATTAATATACGGCGAGAATGTTAATTCTAATTTTTTTTTTTTTTTTTTTTTTTTTTTAATAGATTTGCATAATTTCCAAACGCAGTACATTCGATAGTTCTGCCATATACAAATAATAAATTTTACTTGTTAAAATAATCGAGACCCTGTTCAGTATAAAATCTTTATTCGTCACGATGAGCGCATTTGAACACACACGAAAGTTTAGTATTTCTTTCCTAAGGGTTGTGAAGTAAGTTGGTTTTTTATCTCGAAATAAATAGCATTACTCTTTACCTACGGCTCACAACAGCTGAAATTGTCTCGAGAGTATACAAAACAGATAACATGCCTCTCTTTTTCTTTCTGTTTAACTTTACCGGATAAAAAGTGTATAATTCACGCGATGCGCATTCATACGATTCCCTCTTACGTCTCCCTTCGAGGGGACGCTTACATATACGCACACTTGGCAAGTTGTTACGGGACGACGTTGAGATTACCCGGTTTCCAAGAAATTTCACATTATGCCTTATTCTTACTTTTTCGAGTGATATTACCTTATCGCTGTGCAGGTATGCACACGTATATACGCGTTATCGCGGATTTTCGTTCGTAAGTCTAAGGATACATCTCTCTCTTTTAAAAGGATATATATATATATATATATAAAGTAAGAAAAATATAAAGGTGGTCGAGAGGAAAACAAATGCGCTCCGAATGCACTTGGGCTTATCGTGGCTGTTGGTAATAATCAGCCTATCAGTTGTGATATGATGCGAGGGATAGTCGTTGATGTGCCTAAGCGCTTACGTAAACAGCTTTTGATTTGTGTCTCGACCGCTGAAAATATCTTTGGCTATACTTCGGTGATATTGACCTTGAATATTCGATCGATAGAGATTTATTTATTTATTAAAGGTATATTAATTATTTTAAGTAAGCTGAATGGAAATATTTATGAGACGCGTTTACTATAATTTATTATATATTTAAATATTGTACTTTTTTTTTCCATTTCTAAAGTGAAATCTCTCGTTTTGTTATCTAATCATAATTATAGAAATATACATTCGTAAAATTCCTGATTAAGTCTTCAATATCTTTTTAATAATATTTTACTTTCCAAAATACTTAACTTCTGAATCATTAATCAATATCATTGTGATATTGTACATAATATTTGATAGTACGTATAATATAATAATTTGTATATATTTATTATTGTAAGAATTTATAACTTAATTTAATATTATAATTATATTTATTATTTATTATATATCTATTTTAATACGTATTACAACCCAAAACAATATAGCAGCATTATCTGATTTGTTTCATTAAAGACCTTATATATATATATATATATATATATATCTATATATATATATTACCGTTGGATTGCTTCAAATACAAACTCTTAATTAATTAAAAACAAGTGATTACAAAGATCCTAATTCATCACTTTTATAATGTTGTAATTATTATTAAATAAATATTTGCATTTTTTTATAGTTTTTTTTTTGCCGTATATATATCGTTGCATAATAAGACAAACATCATTTATTTTCAAATTTATCCAACATTTAGTTAATCATTTCTTACATTAACTTATCAATATCTTGATACATCTGTTTCATTTATATAAAATTTATTGAATTTATTCTTACTTATTTAATATTACTGCTCTCTTAAAGGCATTAAAATAAATTGTGCTAAAGGAAAGGTTAAAAATTTATGAATATATTATGAATTTATACGAATATTAAAATGTTAAAATTTTCCATGTCAATAATAAAAACTTAAGAGTATTTACAGTTTTATAATTTAAATGATAGTCCTTGAATTGAAAATATCTTAATTTATTGTATTTTATAAAAATCAATAATTTTATTAAAAACAGTTACCCTGAGATTACCAATTTTTTATATTATTTTAATACACATTAATATAATCTTATTAAATAAATATTGTAAAAAATAAATTTTTGGCTTATGTTTTCCAATGAAGTGAATTAATTTTTACCATTAAAAAAGGGAATTAGATTTTTTTTTTTTTTAGAGAATAGGATAGATACATTATAGCAATGAAATAAATAATTTTCTTGAATAATCTTGCTATATTAATTAAAAATTTCAATTAATTATAAACTCATCATTAGTAGTTTTTTTTTTTCTTCAAAAATCTATCAGCAATTGGAACTCGCATAAATATGTCAATAATACGCATATTTTTTTAAGAATGATGGCTATTTTTAAAAATAACCTAAATTGCAGTGGTCATTAATCAATATAAAATACAAAGAAAAACGAAATCACATACCTTTTTTCAAAATGTATTTTAATATATTGTATAATAAAAAAAATGTCTTTTAATAATTAGATAACTAATTGCTGGAGTAAGGTTGTAAACTAAAAGGACAAGTAAGGATAGTGCTGAATTTACATTGAATAGAAGTGGAATTGTAACTTCGTATTTAAATACGGCGGTCCTTACACTATCGTAGGGCCAAGCCATAAAGAACGTTTTTCTTTTAAAATTTGAAAGTATATCTATTTCAGCACAATATTTATTAGACTCGAAGAATAGAATGCGAATAAAAAGGAATAATATAGATATTTGATGAAAACTGGGCTACAAAAAGCGCCTCGCAGAAAATAAACCTCATATATTTTGCCGTTTTTATTGACGACAACGAGTACACAAGGCGAAAAAGCACGCACGAATCTTTGTCTCCATTCTATTCTTTTTATCGCTCAAGGAAAAGAAAGCGTGTGCAAAGAAAAGAAAAAAAAAAAAAAGAAGCGGTACACTATGTGGTATTTAAATATATACACTGACACAGAGATCGCTTGTACAAGGAAGGCGTTTGTAGCCATACCACACGTACATAATAGAGCATTATGCCCGCGAGATATCAAACTCTCGTTCACTCCCAAATGCATATAGTGGTGCGCGCGGTCTCACCTCCGACGGCGTTTTGTGTGCTCAAGATATTCACAACAAATAGCGTGATGCCCTATCAAGTATATATGGAAGAGAGAGAGAGAGAGAGAGAGAGAGAGAGAGAGAGAGAGAGAGAAACGAACTCAAGCGATAAAAAAAAAAGAAAAAGACGCTTCACTTCATCATCGCCAACATTGACATGTGTGCAAGTTTTACAGGGTCCGCCTGTGATCGTTTAATTTTTCGACAATCTAACGTATTCTTGTTTTAGAAGCGAGCAACGATCAAGCGTCACTTTAAATTGTCCTTATCAGAAACAGTGGACTTTTTGTTGGGACTATAACACATTTCGTTTCCTTCATTTCGCTTCTACCTAAAACACTATCGTAACGAAATAATCGATCTAGTAAATAATTTTCGCTACTTTCAATTAATCAAATATTTTGTTAAATTGCCTTTAAAAATGGGATGCTGTATTCTTTTAATATATTTCTTACTATTCTTATTACATTTCAAATGTATTTTATTAAAGGAAATGTTCATACAAAAATTAAAAAAGAAACAAAAAAAAAAAAAACAAAAAAAAAACTGTGGAAAGTAATTTTATTTTTATACAAAGTGATATAACAGTTGAATGTACTACTCACACCCATACAAGAGTTACAACTCTTATCACCTGAAACTGAGCAACGGATTAAAAATTTGACATTCGACTAGAGTTTTCTAGTGCATAGTATGTCAAATCTTACTTCTTACCGATCTACGAACATTCTACATAAATCGAGCGACGGAAAGAGCAAGAGCATCTAAATAGGTGTAAACTTTGTGGAAAACAAGTGAAAATCAACGCATCGGTACTGCCAATTATGCAACTGCAAGCCCCGTCTTTCCCCCCGACCATATACTGCCCTCGCGCCCTAAACATACACGACCGCGCACCCACGTACGCACGCATGCGCGTACACACACACACACACACCACACGCGCGCACGCAAATAAACAACATTTTAAGCAGACGGTTCAAATGCGCGTTGCACTTTTGCGTTTATCGTGCTCACGCGAACGGTCCCGAATTTCTAAAGATTACGCAGCCCTGATGTTTATGCATTCATGCTGAATTATTGTAGTTTGCGCTCGCGCTCAGCTTTACCAATGTTTATGCTGATTTACGCTTTGTGCTATCTGCCGGGACACATTGTCCCAGAATTATTATTCCGTTCCTTTTCCTTCCTCCCCCCTCCCCCTCCCCCCGCCTACGCCCCACCTCAAATGCAATATTTCTCTCTCTCTCTCTCTCACTCACACACGCACACGCGCGCGCACACACACACACACACACACACACACACACACACACACACACACACACACACACACACTGTCACGACGCTATATTTGTAGCGCTCTGTAATTATATACTAGCATGTATACATATATAAATATCTTTAGTTGAACAGCTTTCTTGAAGTTTTTGGTG